TCTTATTGGGCCAAGGCCCAAAGTCAAATTCTCATACAAAGCCCAATATTGAAAACCCAACAGAGGGAGTACGTTGGGCGTACCCCTCTTGGTACGCTGGGCGTACATCCATGCTCGCGGACAGGAATCGGGACACATACCCACTACGTTGGGCGTACTATCATATACGCGGGGCGTAATCTCGCTGATCAACAAATCCACATAAGTTCTTAATGGCTTAATCTCTTAAGCCCAAACTTCATATCCATAGACCAAATATGTCTAGGATCCATAAAGTCTCAAACTTTATTACTTGGGACGTCCATAAAGCTCTTAATCCAAGGTCTTAATCCATTAAGACCTATCTATAACACATATGAGACAACCAAAGCCCTTGGGACCTCATTTTTCTTACTCCGGACCTCTCCTAAGGTCTAAAAGGACAGCCAATCTCAGCCAACTCGAATCATGCATCAAGATGAGGTTTTTGGGACAAGAATGATGTCAAAACTTCACAACACATAGATCTACACAATATGATTGTCAAGCCAGAGACTTTTTACCTCAAAATGGCTTTAGAAGGTGATCCCTTTCCAGATCTACGAGCTCCAGCCACCCCCACTCCTTCTTTGACAACTTCCTCTTTCTTCTTCTTGGCTCTCCTTTGCCAAAACAAGTTTTCCAAGGTCAAACACACCCAACAATGGAGGTGGAACGGCTATCTAGGGCTTCTAAGGATGAGAGAGTGTTTATGGAGGCTAGGGTGAGAACCATTATGTTCCTTATATAGTGGCTGGCCCTAAATTTAGGGTTTCTGAATGATAGACGTACATTGGGCGTATGTCGAGAGACCCCCGCGTTCCTTTCCTTCATTACGATGGGCGTACGTCCAACTTACGTTGGGCGTACCCAGCCAAACACATGTGTGCATGCTTGGCATGCATGGGACCCCTTTGCTAAACTTCCCCCTTAGGGACCATTGCTGCCAATATCTTTAATTTACAACATTTCCTCCATCATAAGTCCGTTCTCGCCAACTCTATATCCACATTAAGGACCGGAACGCCCTTACTCTTGATCTCGGGAACCCATAAATAGATATTTCAAGAACGGGGCGTTACATAGGAGTAGGTTAATTTGTCGGTTCAAAAAAATAATAATAATAATAAATAAATAAAATACACATTTGTTGCATTGTTCGGTACAAACATATGAACATATGGGCATCATTTCTTTATCTTGTCATGGGTATGGAAAACCAATAGATAATATATATATATATATATATATATATATATATATATATATATATATATATATATATATATATATATATATATATATAATAAAAATGAAAAAGTATTGAAAACAACAATATCAAATTTCCAAGTTATATATAATTTAGAAAGAAATGATTTTTTTTTTTTTTGAAAAACTATGGACAAAATATCCAATCAAAATTGTTTTTTTATCTTTTTATTTATCTTATAAAGGTTTTGTGAAAACAAAAAAATTTCTACAAATAAATTGCATCCTTAATATATATTTATTAAAGATTTCTAGGAAAATTTGTACGTAGTTAGAAAGGCCACAATTTAATCATGAATTCATACCACATAAACTAGCCTCAACACATGTATAGTAGGTATAATAGTTTTTTCCTTCATACAAACGTCCTATATATGACCATGCTCTTTGTAACATACATAAGACATCGACTTAATTACGTTGAACCTGTAAGATATATCATTTTATTATTTGATAATTTGTGACACCCACTTACATCGCTTATACGCAAGTCACATGACTAGACATCTACACATCAACATGCTTGTTGGAATCACTAAATATATAGTTAAGAGATGGAAACTAGCAAATCAAGATTGATATCTCTCTTTAATGGTATGCAAGATTTCATTAGCAGAAACCGGTCGTTGAGGTGGAGGATGTGGATGACGTAGGCAATCAATAAGCCGTCTTAAAAAGTTACGGAAACGGCGACAACAGAAACACAACCCAATTTGACCAAAAACCCCTGTAAGCACCGCCGCTAGTGCTGAGGATGGCTCCATAAATATATGTATACTACTTACCTCTACAAAAAAAATCTTCAATACGAATTACTTTCCAAATACTGTAAAATAGTGAGGTATTGATGCATCGTATCGTTATTTGTAGGTTATCATCTATATTTAAAAATAGTAATAATAATAATAAATAAATAAATAAAATGTAACAGTTGCAATTATGTAATGTGAGTTTGTAACCTATTGGAATTAAATTCATGAAAACTGAAATATTAATTATTTTTCATCATACTATATATTATATACAAGAAAAAAAGTATATACATAAGATTAAGACCCAATAGCTCGGTTGTAATATGGACTTAAGAAATTCAAATTGAACACTAAAACTAAATGTCGTAGTTCGTAAAAGCATCAACATTTAATAGGGTCTAGTACTCTAGTATGATTGGGTCTTTTTCGGCCAAGGCCAAGACCATTAAGCATAGTCAAATTGATGATTTTAAGTTCTTAAATCATATTCACAATTCACAAAGCACAAGGGAAGTGAGAGTTGTTTTCTTTCTTTCTTTCTTTTTTTTTTTTTTTTTTTTTGAAGCAGCAAACGAGAATAATATATATAAGGAAGATCCGTCTCTAGCAAGTCACTAGTGAGGACAAACAAAAGTACAAAGGACAGGAAAAAACAAAAAAAAAAAATGAATTGAAATGCAATTACATTACGGACTACAAAAATGGTTGAAGTTCTAATTTGTCCAGTTTAAGCCACATTCTTTGCTTCTATGATTGAACCATAGAAATGTAGTTGCATTTCTATAAGACCAGAGGGAGTGGGTGCGGTCTAGGCCGCACTCCACCCGCTACATCATCACGCACACCGCCCCATGGGTGTGGTCCAGGTGCGGTCTAAGCCGCATTGAGGCCTTCCATAGGTGCACTCCCCTCTCTCTCTCTCTCTCTCTCAACCAATCATCTTTCTTTCTTTTTCTTTTTTTTTTCTCTCTCCTAACCGTTTTCTCACTCCCACCTTATGGTTTCAAATTGATAAAATGAGAAAAAAATATGAGTTGTTATCTATGTGGCATAGAAGGAAGTGCGGTTTCAATGACACCACTCCCTCCAGCCTAATATAAAATGCATGAACGAACTTTATGAATCTCTGTGAATATGGTTTAAAATGTGTGAACGAACTTTATATATATATATATATATATATATATATATATATATATATATATATATATATTTGTGATTGCAAATAAATCTTTGTGCTTGTTAACACATAAAAAAGAGAATTAAAGTATTATTATATGAAATTTTAAACTCATTTATAATTTTGTTATGGTCAAATACAATTACATAAAATCATTAATTCGGTTAATTTTAGTGATTTTTATTTTTTAATTTCAAAGGATACAACAATTTAGTTTTTTTTTAAATAGCAAATCTAACATATTCCTAAACTACATCTTAAATTCACATATATATATATATATATATATATATATATATATATATATATATATATATATATATATATATATATATATATATATATATATATATATTGATTGCAAATAAATCTTTGTGCTTGTTAAAACATAAAAAAGAGAATTAAAGTATTATTATATGAAATTTTAAACTCATTTATAATTTTGTTACGGTCAAACATAAGAACATAAAATCATCAATTCCGTTAATTTTAGTGATTTTTATTTTTTAATTTCAAAGGATACAACAATTTAGTTTTTTTTTTTTTCTGAAAAATGTAACCAACTTTTAAACTATACTTTAAATTCACTTATGTTCACGATGGGATTTCAATCCTCAACTTCAAAAAAAGAGAACAATATCAAATATCTTTAAGACTATAAGCCTTTTTGGTATACAACAGTTTAGTTTTTTTTTTTTTTTTTTGGAACGGCAAACTAACTAATCTACTTTTAAATAACCATTTATGTCTCCACTGAAACTTGAACTTCTGACCTTTCATATGAGATGATCACTCCATACCGCTAGACCATTAATCTTTTGGTTACAAACAGTGAACTTAACCGGAAAAGATACATTGTTGATAAAATATAATTAAATAAAAAAAGTACAAAAAGTAATTGATGGTTTGATTGGATCTCAAGGCCGACATATTGGATAACTAAAGACAATAATTCTTGTAGCTTTTCATAAAATCAAGTAGTATACCACACATCATTTCCAATCCACACGTCACAATCTACAATGTACGAACTACACCAATCTCAAAATTAAATCTAATCCATCTCACCAAAAATTAACAGAGATGAAAAAACGGATATGTAGACAATTTCAGTAACAAATGAAAATATTTAATTTTTTATTTTTTATAAATAGTTAATAAGTAAGACTTAGAAACCTAAATTACCAATAAACAAACCAGCTTCTATGAAATATTATAATCAAATCATTTGAAGGTAACGTATAATAAGTTTTCAGATTACCAATTAAACCTAATGCAGATAAAATATAACAAAATAGAGTCAACTTTAGGTGTCAGCTGACACTATTTTCGTCTGAAAGAAAAAGTCTAGGCCGAAATTTTGTTCAGTCAAAATCAAACACGATAAGATTACCAAAAAGAATCTAATTCCACAAATAAAATAAAAATAATTGAGAAAACGATAAGCTACTCTGTTAGGATGCAACACCCGAGGGAGTAGGGACTACCATAGTGATAGTGTATCAGTGTATCTATCTATAACATGTCCATACAATTATTTCTTGAGTTGATTGTATACCAACAACACTAACAGTAACACTAGTCACAAAAATATCGTCTTTTTTTTTCAATAAAAACAGAATTGCAACTGTTTGTTCTTTGCTGTTTACATTGATACACGGAATAAACATCAATCAAACAATGGCCGACTACTCAACGGCCTCACTTACTTCAGAGCTCCGGGAACTCTAATCTTTTTCCCAATCCATCAAAAAAAAAAAAGAAAAAAAAAAAAAAAAACATCAAAAGAAATCAAACTCAAGATAATTATCCGACCCCTTTTTCTCGGGTGCAACCGCAATGGTATTGGTAGCAACCTTTTTCTCGGCTGCCACCGGGGGCGAAGGAATCTCAAGCGGTCTGGGAATCTCGGGTGGACTGGCACAGCGAATCAAGGCCCAATTAACACCTTCAAAGAAGGGATGTTGTTTGATCTCCGTGGCTCCCCTTTTATAAGCCAATCTGTGTTGTGGTTCTTTCACCAACAAACCTCTGATTAAATCCCGAGCAGAAAAACTAACCACGGGTGACTCCGGAAACCTCAACGGCTGACCCACCACATTCATCAAAGTGGCTCGGTTCCCAGAGCCTTTAAACGGAGTCTTCCCAAACAGAAGCTCGTACAAGAAGATCCCAAGCGTCCACCAGTCAACCGCACTCCCATGCCCTTCGTTTTTAATGATCTCAGGAGCCAAATACTCGTGGGTCCCCACAAACGACATCGACCGGGCCCCCGTGGGCTCCGCCATCAGCTCCGGTAGCGGTGTCACCTGGTGTCTGATCTCCGGTTTGGCCTTTGATGATTTCTTCTTGGACTTGCTCATAAAAAGTCTGGGCGAGAAACACGACGTGGGGACCACACAGGAGGGTTGGATACAAGAAGTGGGCTCGATACATGCGGGCTGAACACAATAACCTGAGTTCCTTCCGAGGGGTTCGTTGTCTAAAGACGCCGATTTCACAAGTGTCGGGCTCACGGAGCATCGAAGGGAAAGGTCAAAATCGGAAAGCATTATGTGTCCGTCTTCCCTCACCAGAACATTTTCCGGCTTCAAGTCCCGGTAGATTATCCCCAGCATGTGTAGGTACTCCATAGCAAGGAGTATTTCCGCAACATAAAACCTACAAATACAATACAAATTCTTATAATCTCATCCAGTAGAATCAGAAAAAAAAAAAAAAAAAAAAAAAAGACATATTACTTTACAGCCTGTTCGCAAAATCGCTTCCCGGGTTGCCTTTGTCTGAGAGTGTGCAAATCGCCACCTGGACAAAACTCCATAACCAAACAAGAGAATTTATCGGTCTCAAAATGAGTATAGAGAGTTGGAAGAAAGGGGTGATCCAGAGACTGTAGAATCTCCCTTTCTGTCTGTGCGCGTAACAATTTCTTACGGCTTTCAAGGGAGACTTTATCCATAACCTTCATGGCAAAATAAGATTTGGTACCACTGAGTTCAGAGAGATAAACACTCCCAATATCACCACACCCCAATCTCTTCAACAATCTAAAATGGCTCAGACCCAAAACCCCATCTTTTGATCTAACGGCCTGGATCGCTTCCCATCTTGAATCGTTTGATTTATGCGGTTTGCTCACACTGCTGCTTAAACCACTACAACTGCTTTCATCACTTACATCCGTACTTGTGCTTCCTCTACACATACTGCTCTTCCCACTCTCAACAAGATCCATCCTTTCATTCATTTTACTACTCCCACTTGTTATTGTAATGCTGCTAACTCCGTCACTTAATTTACCAGATACCGAACTGTTTTTTGAAGTTCCTTGACCCGATAAACTCTTTTCTGGATCAAATGTATCTTCAGTCTCTATTTTATCGCCTAAACATTTCCGGTTTGACTTTTTAGACTCTATTTCCATCTTTTCGGTTGATTTTGTTGGAGTTGCAGGCTCTAAGCAGCTGCTGCTTTTTGTGGCATCATCGTCACATGTGCTTTCTACCATTAGTTTACTAATAGATCTCGAATCCATTTAAGAAACTGCAAATTTCTTTTGATCAATCAAAACCCAAAACTAGAGTAGCATCTCCGACTCAGGAAAGCCTGCCTGCCTGCACAGATAAATAATTGTAATAACCATTCAAAACAAGCTTTAACTAAAACTTGATGTTCATGGAAGAAAGTTGCAAATTCGCAAAGAAATCAAGAAATTTCATTTTGAACATCAACAAACTATTAATGGATATCAAGATATATTATACAAACAATTTGCACACCAAAACTCAAGAAAATAAAAATGGAAAGCAAACTATCGAGAAACAAATCAACAAAGTTATAAAATCATAAACAAATCAGGAAACTTACAAAATATTTAAGAAAACCCAGATCACAAGCTTAAGGAACTACAAATGAAATTCAAGATTATGCCAGTGAAATTTAGGCAACAGATCACACCAAAATCGTATCAACAAACAAATCTGGAAAGTTACAAAATATTAAGAAAACCCAGTTACAAGTTCGAGAAACTATTATTAATGGGGGGGAAAAAAAATAGGGCAGTAAAAACTGTGGAAATGATTTGCACACCTAAATAACTATATCTGAGATCAAGCTTTATGTTATTCTACAAGAGTAAGCTTTCATTGGTGTCTCTGAAACCAATTAATTTATCAAGAAACCAATAACTGGATTTCGAAAACGATGTGATGAAATAAACATCTTGCACATAGCAATCAAAGTCTACGACAAGATAAGAAGAGACCCATGAAGAAAAAAAAAAAAGGTAAAAAGTAAAAGGGTATATGAAAAGCAGACAGATCTTGAAAATAGACCCACCTCTCTTCCATTAAAATCTTTACCAAAGAACCCTAATCCAAAAACCAACCAAGAACACATGAAAAGCAAAACCCACTTGCATTAACAATCAGATGAGCATTTATGAAAAAGTAAAAAAGAAAAGTAACCATTAAAAAAAACGAACCTGAAGGTCTGCAAAGATCAGAACTTTAGGGTTTCTGTTCAGCCCTTAATCAACAATCGACTTACAGCTCCGAATAGTTGAAGTGGGAGATATATAATGGAGGGAAGGAAGAAGGGAGTGAGCTCTCGCTTCCAAAATTGTGGTGGAGGAGAATACAGAGAAAAGGGGGAAGAAAATGGAGTTGGGTCTTTGTGTAATGGAGGAGAGAGAAGGAGAATTTGAGGAATCGAGGGTAAAGTTAAAGTTTTGCCACGTTCTTGGTATTATTATATTGATCTCAAAGAAAGAAAACATATGGGGCTTCTTTGGTTCCAACCTGTACATCATGGTTTTAGCTTTTAAGGCAACTCAGAAATTTTCTTTTCTTGTCTTGCCTAAATAAAAAAGTATGGTAGTTTTTTTTTTCTGTGAATTGTTTTTAGATGAAAAAGGCTGCTTTTAGATTAGAAACTGGTGTTATAAACGAGTTGCAACAAGTTCGTGGTTGACTTTACCTACGACTTTTAAACTATAAACTTAAACTCGATTTATAGCTTGGTAGCTTTATATTAATTTGGACTAGATTTTGTTTCAATCAATGTATAAGAATGGAGATTTGTTTGTATACTCTATATATTTGTGTTATATGTTTCAATCATTGTATAAGAACGGAGATTTGTTTGAAACCATGGTTTCAAACAAACCCTAAATATTCATCTCACCTCTTCCCTTATCATTTTTTGTTCAATTTGTTTTTCTTTACCCTTGTCGCCTAGCATGTGATGTCTCGACTAACATGGCCATCAAGTCGGTGACACATTTGCCTTTAAACTTTCTTCGTTTCATTTTGCTTTAAATGTGTCCAACGTCCAGACCTTCCAGTTGCTCTAGAGATTGAGATAAAGTCCAATATGTATCTTGGAGAGCCTTTCCGCCTCCATGCCCTGACATACCAAGTGTTGGTATGTATTATACTTCAAGATGTGTCAGTATAATGCCCTATGACAACATTTGATGCAATCGTATTATAATGGATATATGATACCATATCAATCGATCTCCACCCAATCTTGTAACATGTCGTTTCTCCATAGTATGTCTTGGGGTCATCTCAAAATCATTTTTAAAGGTAATAAGAGTTTGAAGACAATTCATCTACAACACTGGATCTCATGCTCCAAATAAATTGATTTTCCCAAATTATTTGCATATTGTCAGCACCTTAAAATATTAACTATTCTGTTGGTAAATGTGGTGTCTGAAGTACCCAATCAACGTTTCATTCTTCAACTTGCAACTAGATTATCCTAGGTATATGATTTTTCAACGATTATTCAACAATAACGTCTTGTCACCATTTTACAAAAGTGTCCAACATGTTAACCTTAGAAGAAGTTTGGAGAGCACAACAAGCGACCTATATGATGTCCCTTCAACGGCTCTTTACACATCCAACCAACAAACACGCTTCAAAGTAGTCGCATACCTCTTCTACATAACCTCACGATGACATTACATGTCATGGAAGGGGGCATAGATGTGACAGGCCGAATAATTTTGGTTATCCTTAAAACAAAACACAATCCTAATGGGCTTCAACAATCTAATTCTATATGTAACAATATGACGTACCACCCTACATACATCCCATATCTAACATTACGGCTTTTTACGCTCCCCGAAAATATGGATACCAACCTCATCCTCTATCCATTGTAGGTATCTTCTACCTACATCCAATGTAGCCTTGTCATGCTATGAATTGCACTCTTAAGATTCCAACTGTTATTGATGAGGCACTACATAGTTTAACTTATAATCCTTCAAATAAATTTTAGGATATATATGCTATGTTTCACATTACATCTTACCAAGGTACACTTTCACATTACATCTTACCAAGGTACACTTTCCTACATTTTCTTAGTTTAAGTCCATATAGTCTTATTACTTGTTATAAGGCATGGTAATTCCATGCTCTTACATTCTCCAATACCATATATATTCCCTTTCTACATTTAATTATTTATTTCAAAACTGTTTTGGTCATTCCTAATCTTGTTAGGTGTCGCCGCTAATGCTGTGTAACATCCTAATTTTCGAGGCAATTTTTTTCATTTTTATTTATTCAAAACATGTAACGTCCGCGTTTCTAAGCTAGGCACTAATGATGACTTAATAGTCTAGGTCAACCTTTGTAATTTGTTTTGAAATAATAAAACGTATTATTGATTATTATGTGTTTTTGCTTAATTATTATAATCTAATGAATTAAGGATAAAAATAAGCATCGAAAATAAATGATAGACAAACCTGATATCTATGAAGAAAGTTTTAGTGGTTGAAATAAGGATTTCGGAGATATAAAGAATACCGAAATCCGAGTTATAACAAAGAAGTTATGACTTGTTGAAGTTTCACGACAGAACCGGCGCGACACCGTATAATGTAAAAGGTGAGTTTACGATAAAGCTTTTTTAGCCTTTGTGATCTAAATGAAAGACGTAGTATTCGTTAAACCGAGAATTTTCATAAAAAGAACATCAAAATTTGACTTCGTATGAGAAAGTTATGAGTTTTCTAAGTTTCGGTATAGTAGTATACAACTAAAAACTCGAAATAAAGATCGAGTGATTTTTAGCCGACACAACCTAAATGAGAATTGAATGTCTCATCAATATTAGTACAATGGTAAAAAGACAGACGAAAACGGACGTCGAATGAAGAAGTTATGATTTTTAACGGATTTTCTTGTCCCGGTCTGTTAAAAATAATAATATTAAAAATAATCAAAATTAGTCAACAGAGTCTAAATGAAAGTTGTAGAGTATAATCTCACATACGCGTGGATATAAAGAACATCGAAAACGAAGCTCGTATGCGAAAGTTATGAAATTTTGAAGTCCGGGGCACAAAAACCGAGAACCTTCGCATATGCGAGGTCTTGGTTCGGCGGGTCACCGGACCCTCGCAAGCCAGCCCCGTGTCCGACTCGTGGCATGACTGAAGCGAGCTCCAATCGTGAAGCGACGTGTGTCACACCAGTGGTGCATCCGAGCTCGGACCCATGTGTGCCTGCGAACCGAACCGCGTGCCCTCCTGTGACATCCCCAAAATCTCGGCCAGAAAAGACCGATTTTCATTTATGCTTTTAAAATAATTTCAGAGTAAATCCTTTTGATTTGAAAGAGTTGCGGAATTTGTTCCCAAAAACAAAACATGATAAAACAATGTTTACCAAAACATTTCATAAAAGAAATGTATTTTCATTATATAATCAAAACTCGAGGTGTCATGTTCCGATACAGACCAATAAGCATAAACGATAACATTACAAGTCATTCAACAAATATATACATATACAGACTTGTAAACAAAACAACTTGATGGTTCATCCATCTTACGCCCTTGCGCCACTTCCTGTAATACAAATAAAACTGAGTGGGTCAAGCTTGGGAGTCTGGTGAGCATATAGGGTTTTCAACCCACAATAAATAATTAAATTAATTATTATCAACCAACAATAACCCAATTACCCATTCCCGTTATTCTCACTTTATGTCCCTAAAATAACTAACACAAGGGACCTAGTCTAAGAATATTTCATCGGGGTGACAACACATGCTTCGGGGGTGCCTCAGCAATATAAGTCAAATAAGGCAACCATGAGGGGGATGGAATACAACGAATGAACACCCAAGTTCATTAACACCTACAGGTTATGAGCCTGCTAGCGTTCCACTGGACTGTCTAGAAAAGTCCGTGGTCGTCATCTAAATTCCGCTAGATGACTGGATCAAAACAACATCGAGGCCTCTCATCTGTTTATTACACACCAACTATCTACCCATGTTCTACCCAACATATTAGTAGATAAAACATACATTTTTATACATATTCTCAAAACCTGTATAGCATGCTCAATCAATACATTTTCCACATAACAGATGAGGCACATACACATAATATGTATTTCATAGAGAAATAATCAAATCTATAAGATAGAAGAAAGTGAATATACATTCACACACATAACAACAAAATATACACATAACACGTATCTCGTATAAAAT